CTATAAGTAAGACTAAAAAGGGAATTATCCGATATGAAATTAATAATACAAAATAGTCTTATTTAACTAAAATCGCGGGTTACTACTGAGAAAAGCTCTGCTAGTTTCGAACCACAGAGGGGTTTCTCATGAGCAGCGTGCGCGGTCGCAGCGACGACGTCGCGCAGCTCACACTCTTATTCTTATTATTTATTTATTCATATTATATATGTCTTATTATTTATTTAGACTGACATTTTGTGATTTCTATTTAGCTAAGGCCCTCCTATACAAACCCCATTCAACCATCTAATGAAAAGGCAAAAAGAAATAGTTTATTCACAACAGAACTTACCTCATACACTTAGATATATACCTATCTTAACATAAAACCACAATTCCAGCATACAGCATAGAAATATCAAAATCCTTGCGCAATGCGGATTGGATGAACAACCTCTCTTCATATGTGGACTTAGAGAACAAAGCTCGGACTGACTTCAGTGACTCCAACAAGAAGTGGCGTGAAGGAACTGCTAAAACATCGTTCACATATTTACTCCTTGACCCTCGATTAACTGACAATCTACCTGCAAAGTCAAGCAAGCAGGACAAACATACATCCTGGGTCACTTTTGTTAACTCCATATTTTATGTTGGAAAAGGTAATTCCTTGTTTTTTTTTATTTTTTTATCTTTATATCACAAAGGTAAGTATTTTATAATCGTAAGCCCCACAAAACCGTTGCAATGGTTTGACTGTGGGGTAGAGTTTTATTATAATTGACTGCGTCAGACTGTCCTGTTGGCCAAGTGGTCGTAAGTCCAAATGATAGTCAAGGAGTCTAGGGTTCGATTCCCGAGTCAAGCAAAGTAAATATTGCTTGTTTTTTTTTTAATATCAGTAGTAGGAAGACACGGAGTCTGGAATTGTGCCCGGTATATGGCAATAGACTCACCCCCTATTACTATGGGACTCATAACATAAATAGTGAAAAGTGGGTGTTACCAATGTAATGTGCGCCTCTGCCTACCCCCTTCGTGGTTATGTTATGTATGTATTAGAATTACTTAATGCTCGCATCTTTGTTTACTCTATAATAAATAAATCTGTTTAAGAGTTTATCCACATAGTGATACTTAACTTTAACGTTTTAGAATTGAATTATCCCAAACACTTGAATATATCATTAGATTAGTTCTCTGGAATTAGCATTATTTTTCAAATCGTTTAGTATAATCCTTACTTCCTTACTAATATTATAAATCGGAAAGTGAGTTTGTTTGTTTGTTTGTTCCGCTTTCACACCGTAACTACTAAACCGATTGCTTTGATTTTTTGTAAAGTTAGAAGTCCGGATTAAACAATAGGGTATTTTTTATACCGAAAAAATTTGATATTCCCGAGGGAAAACAAAAGTATTGGTATAGATGTCGCTGTGTGTATATGTTACATAGGTTACTTTTATCCATTTGTGACGCCTGCGAAGCCGCGAGTAAAAGCTAGTGAAATAATAATTTCTTTATCTCTTTCAGGCAAACGCTCCAGACCATACTCTCATTTATACCAAGCGCTAACACTTTGGAAGAAAGACTTCAAAACATCTAAAGATAAAAAAGTTCAACACATACTAGACATCTGGTCGGACAAAGTAGGAGTTGTGTGTTTACATATATTTCAAAATGTGATACCGGCAGAGGCTTACACGTATGAAGCGGCGATGATAGATGCGCTGGGAGTAACTAGTTTAAAAAATCTAAAAGTTGGCAATTACTATGGAGTGGCCGCATCATGGCCGATGAAGGAACGTCGGATGCTGGGACAATATCTGCTGTACAAAGCCATGCTGATCTTCCTCAGCGAAGGAGAACGGCAACTGAGGCCAGACGACCTAGACTGAATACCTAGGTACTTAGGTATCTTTACATTGGTTGTGAAATTCTTGCGTTAAATTAAATGAATTCTATCATTATTTATTGTCGATGTTAATATCTAAATTGTTGTGCGTAGATATTTATACTGTAGCGTATAATTAAGCTTTAATGTTTTTAGTATTTATCAGGGTTGAATATTGTACTGTAGCACTTGCAGACGCCAAAGAATTTTACATGAGACTTGGAGCCAACTGTTCGCACGGAACATTAATATTCCACGAATTTATTTTACCGTTTTAATGAACTATTATTTTAAAATGTACACATGCGTACTGTGTGACGTTAGTAAATACTTTTTTACACGAAATGAAATTATATTTCTCAAAATACTCAGAGCTTTAATGTTTTGTCACCAAAAATACTTTCAATGTATTGTTTTCAACAACGACTCGGACTGTTAGCTCCGCCGTAATACCAACAGAACCATATTGTTATAATATCGTTTGCTATTACCAAACAAATCAACTCTGACTTGTTTATGGGCTCACATTTATTATTACAAAGCATTTCGCATAATTTTAGTTTGTTTTATATTAGCAAACAGTATTCTGTATAATTTATTCGACATTATAAGTAGCTTTAAATTATTTATAACTTGTTCATTATAAGTTACCACTGCACTTTAAATATTTCGCACTGATGTTTAAATGTAAGTTGCATTATATTGCCTATAATAGTAGTACCTGTATCAATAAGCGAAATGTTCGTATTATTTAGCTGTAATCTGTTGTTCCTAGTCATTAATACAATACAGTAACGTAAGCATAATGTATTAATCATGACAATATACTATTACATTAATTTTACTGACGTTTTACGTGTTAAGCAGGAAATAAAACACATTTTTTAAGAAATAATTTATCTTTATTATTCCTTTTTCAACGTCTCGAATTCTTTTCTAAGTAAAATCAAACTTGGCTTTAGTTACATCAAAAAAAAAATACACAAATGTTCATTTATATAATATTGATACATTATAAATACAATGATCAAGTTTTGCACCAAGTCGCGGTTGGTACATGAATGAAAGCGTAATTAAGTCCGTGGTCAAACGGGGTTACAAACAAAAGATCGATCAGTCTATGCGTCCGTGGACAATGTACCGAGCGCTCGCTTGAGATCTCATGGGCCCGGGCAGCACGCGCGGTCTCACTATACATGCTTTGCACTCTGGCGTGGCCCGCGCTCAATCGTCACTTGCCCGTTATTTACTATTTAAATCCTATATGTGATCATCACGTGGTACCATATACTGCCACAAAGCCCCTAACTTGAACACTTGGGCGGTGATAGTAAGTGCAAGAGCCACAGAACTGAATGGCAGATCAACAGGACGCCATTGTTTGTTACCGCTCTGTTATTCCAAAATAGCCCTTAATCACAGCTAAGTATCACGATATGGTCATCGTGTCGGTGCTTGTACGCCGCCAACGCTTCAGACCTACATAGCCTTCATATAGTCACATTATCGAATCATCGCCCAACTTATAAGATAAAATTGCTTTAAAATTTACCAACATACAATTTTTCGTGACTACTTTACCGAAAATATATTTTATTTCAAATCATTTCTTAGAAATTATTTGCAAATAGTAAAGAAGTATTCCTAGGTAAAGTTGATTATGATTTTCAACTAAATCACAACTAAATTATTTTTGCTTTCTGCCCAATTAAGGAATAACAATAAAATTAATGTTGAGACATCGCAATCATCTTTCCTAGATACTGTTTTGATGTATGCAATCAAATCATAAACAGTTAAGTAGACATTTGCTTTGAAGCAGTATTTAATAACAAGATAAGATCAAGTCACTGGTTTCCTGAAATTCCTTGTCGCAGACTTATTCACTTATACCACATAAACTTAGGTTAGGCCCCGCATTTTTACAAAATATTGTTTTTGTTAATTTAATATGAAACAGGTACGCGCGTACATTGACTACAATGTCATGAAAATAATACCATATCACTACAAATATTTTATGTCATTCTCTACAACGTGTTTATAAATGTTTTCTCTACTCGAGTTGAAATGCAACCGACTTGTGGTCTCCTTCAGTCGAGTCTCTCACGAACCAAACACAACATCTCCTCAGTTTATATAAAATACAAAATAGATGCATCAACACAATCGAGGTATTCCCACGTTAACCAATTGGAAGACTACGAAACAATACATTATATTCCCTGAGACAATCTAGTAGGAAGTCAATGGTATTTTAAATGCTTGGAAATAATATTACAGTCGTCGGACACAGGAAGATGCAGCTCTTAACTAGTGTGCAGTACGGAAACCCTAATCCCTTGTATTGACAAATATCGGACTATGAGATTTTTATAGTTATGATTAAAAGCCTGACATACATACACGCACATCGATGTTGAAACACTCGACGAATCTATAGGATGCTCTACTAGTTACATAATAGTAAGTCATTGTTCACTATATCGAGACAGAGTACGATTTGTGCACGCTACGACTCATATTGTAATGATCACATTGACGCCTTTAAACTTACACTAAATTACTTAAAACTTAATTATCATTATACTTTAAACCTAGATACACTCGCTTTCGTTTTGTGGAATGCAGATATCATAAATAAAGATCTTACTAGGCTGTATTCGCAATGATATAAATTTAGACACAGGGGCTTCAAACATCAGTACAATGCCCAGAGGGAGAATCGGAAAATTCGATGTTTATATTACATAACCCTTATGGAACACTAACAATCGTAGGGTACTTTACACATAACACTAATATGTACAAAACTAGTTTGTGCTTCCACTAGTAACATATAAACAGGAGGCGCGGCGCCAGGTCCTCGCGCCGCGACACGGCACAACATCCATCGGGGAGTCTTCAACACAACACTCTCAACTATATAGGTAACTATCGGTCTGGACACATTCTATAACATTCAAAGCGCACATCACATACACAATTTGTGGGTTACGCGAGATCACAGTGTTTAAATTATGGCTACTGGCATAGAGTTAAAGTTTTTTTTATCGAAGTTCAATCGTCACAAAGTCACAGTCAGTCCGCGCGGCCGCTCGGGCCGGGGCGCGGGCGGGCGCGCTGTCTCGGTACGTCCCGGGGCGCGCGGCCCTCACTTGGGCGGCGTCGGGAACGAGTTCACTACGGCCTGCGTGCTGGCCAGCACGGCCGCCGCTGCAAAACACAATCTTCCATTACTGTCTCGGTACCGAGCACCGACCTCGACTAGCGTCCCTCTACTCTAGCTACACGGGTCGGGCGGGGCTCGCCCGCTCGTCCGGCGTGTGCTATCGGGCCCCTGCAACCAAGCACATCACATCGTTAGGCCCGAGGGGTGTAGAGTGGACGTAATCGAAATACGGATTAAACAATCACTGAATAAACAAACTTAGAAGGGGTATTTTATGTGTACAATTAATCGAGTTACAGTGAAAAGGTGATTAAAGAGGGGAGGAACTGACCAGGGTAGGGCGGCGGGTAGAGCGGGTAGCCGAGGCCGACGTGCGTGTGGTGGTGCGTGTGCACGTGGCGCTGCGGCGGCGGCGAGCGCGGCGAGCGCGGGGACGGCGCCGGCTCCTTGGGCGCGTCCGCGCGCGGCTTGCTGGCCGGGGACTTGGCGTGCTCCTGGAACAACACACTCGTCACTACCAGCCCGCGACTCACTCGACACTTCTATAAAAAAGCTACTAAAAGATCAGCTCACTTGTAATTCGTGTATTTTGTGTGGAGCACCACCATACGCGAAGTTGGGGCCGTGTCCGCTACCAGGACCGCCTACTCCTGGCATGAGGTCCAGTTTCCCCGCTCCGCCGGGTCTGGATAGGTCCTCGGGTGCGTGGTACCGTGGTACTGTCCATCCACCTCCGAACCCTCCCACCAGCATTGGGCTCAGAGGTGCTCGGTAGACGGAGTCGAAGGGTAGAGCCCCGTAGTGCGAGGGCTGCATGTACGGCGGGAGGTAGTACTGAGAGGTGGGAGGGGGCGGGGGACCCTGCGTCTCTGTCGTCGGCTTCTGCCCTTCTTGTTTCACCTGCAAACAACGTAAGTTGGGCTTGGTACATAAATCACAAGACATTTGTAAACTACGAAGTAACGGTTATTGCGGCGACGAGTGCTTGCAGTAACAGCGCGTCACGATCACAATAAACGTAACTTGCCACGTAGTCGCGCAATGAAAACAATCTGGTCTATCTAACCTTAGGGTATCGGTCTCTGCCATAGGCTGGGTAGTGCAGCTCAGCCGGCAGTGGCTCCGTCTAAAATTAGTTTATGTTAACAACAAGCCGACTCCCAACTAACTGCGTTGGGAAAAGACTGTCCTGTCATATCAGAGTTGCAATACGGCTGCCAGGTCTTCAAACAATTTTGGTATACTATTTAATATATTTTGCGAGATTAGCAATGTACGGTTAGTTACCTTGACCTCCTCTTTGGGCTTATCGTCCTTGTCCTTGGCAGGCTGTTTGTGTGCGGGCTGCGGCGGGGGCCGGCCCCCCTGCGCGGCCGGGGCTCCGCTGGCCCCCGCCGCCAGCCCGGGGGGCTTCGGGTCATTGCCTCCCTCTTTTCTTCTCTGATCTAAACTCATGTAATACCTGAAAAGCGAAATCGTTGGTTAGTCGTAGACTCGTAGATCATGATACATTACAAACTAGAAAATAATGTGTTTCTTTAATGGTACAAACCTTCTTAATTCTTCTTCTCTCGCGTGTGGTGGTCTCTGGAAGGCGTAGGGTCCCATCTGTGCCTTCATTTCGATGCTTTCCTTCAATATCTGATGGTTATCGTTGGGCCGCGCGGGGTTTTCCTTGCCGTCGGGCGGGCGTTGTTGCTTGTTCTTGTCCAATGGGCTAGGGGTGGTCTTCGACCGGTCGCTGTCTTTACTCTTGTCGTCTAAGGGAGGACCTGGAGGTGGCCCACCAGCCTCCACGTTGTAAGGAAAGTTGGGAACATAGTTGTAAGGGTAGAAGTGTTGTGGTAACACTTTTTGAGGTCCGTTGTCTGGTTTACCGTCCTGAAAATGATCAGATGTTATTTTAGATTTGTTTTTTTATCTTATTAGCAAGTATTGTTCATACTGGACATTGGCCAAAGCATGTTATAAAGTTTGTGGAAAATTAGAAAGTCAGTTACATTGTTCATTAAGCAACAGTAAGTTTATTAAAGATTATCTAATCTTTGTATCAGTAAATGGAAATGATTTACAATGAGTTTATTAGCGCAGTCACTGCTATAAAGTTTTATAAAGGTATGATATCGCTAGCTCTCTTAACAAGAGGTAGGTACTTACTTTCATGTCACCCTTGGGGTCTCCTTTGGAGAGATCATCCTTGCCTTTGTCCGAAGACTGAGGAGGCACGGGAGGAGGGTGCGAGGGCGGCATGTACGACGGCTGTCCATAAAACTGAAATAATTTGGTTCACGCGTCAGTTCATTCACATTCTAAAAGAGATTTAACAGTCCAATAATTTATTTTACAAATAGAACTGCGCAAGTTTATTTTCTTTTGAACGAGCGCATTTCTTTTTAGCTTACTTCAAAAAAGGAAGTTCTCAGTTTGACTTGTATGTACGTATGTTTGTTCGCCATTATCTCGCGATTAGCTGAACCGATTTTGATTAAACGTAGGAAAAGGTTAATAGGTATAGTATATTAATTAACTGATTTCCAAAAAGAGGGGTTTGAAGACGGTTTTTAAACGTAGTTTATTAGAAATTAATAAAATTATTTATATTAGTATTCAATTAGTGGTACCTGATGATAAACTGGGAACGGTCTGTGCGCCGGGTCATCCGGCGGCGCGTCGGCCGGCGCAGCGTCGTCCGATATGTCGGAGTATGCCGGCGACCGCACGCCCGGCGTCGGAGAGCGCCGCGCGCGTCGTTTGCCTGGGGACTCCTCCGCAGGGGACTCTGTCGACTTCCGCTCCTCCGCCATTAGCGCTGACCGAGGCTTTACCTGCACAACAACAGATGACAAGTTCATTTAAAAGTTCTTCTTTCAACCAAATACGATGAGAAGTCGTCCAAAGTGTTCAAGCAAATAAATAAACGACAGATAGCCACTCGGAACTTTGAGTATATGTTTACGTCGATTGGAATTTACCTTAAACTGTGTAGGTTGCATTGTCGGTAACGCATCGGGCGGCGTGGCTGGTGGCTGCGGAGGTGTCTGCGGCCTGTCCACCGCGGCGGGTGGCTCCGAGGCTGTTATAAACTCCTCGGCGAACCGTGGCTGCTGCGGCGACTCCGCGTCCACTTCAGGCTTCTCTGGAGATTTCTCCGGCGACTTGTCAACCTTTGCGTCGGGTGATTTGACCGGAGTCGGCGACTTGACAGGCGTGGCAGGCGTAGCTGGCGCGGATGGTGGCCGCGCCGGAGACGCTGGCTCCGTGGCCGGCTCTTCCAGCTCAGAGCTAGAGCCGTCTTTATCGTCGTCGTCTGGAGAGCCGTGGGCGTGGGATCGGTGGTACTTGAGTCCATTCGCGTGCTTGTACTTCTTTGAACAGTTTGGTTCTGGACATTCAAGAAGGACGGGATCTGGTGGAGGGGAAGACGGTGTGGGAGGCGGACGTTTAGCCTTCGGCGTAGGAGGTCGCTCCTCTGCATCCGAAGTGCGTTTTCTTTTTGAGTCTGGTCTAGGAGGTGTAAAGGGTGTTGGTGAAGGCAGTGCTCTTCTACCCTTGGCGCCCCCATTCCGTAGTTTACTATGTACCGAGGACCTTGTCTCCGTAAAATTAGTCATGTCAGTCGGCGCTGCGCCGCGACCTCGTTTTGCACGACCTTTGGGCGTCCGTGCGTCCAACTCCTCCGTAGGAGAGTCGCAAAACCTGTAGAAATGTAATATAACTTTGTTTATAACATTATTTAACATTACAGCGGTCGATTCGAGGTGCTCGTGAAAACCAATGAATATCAATGGCATCATTATTTAACAAAATATATTCCTGGTGTTTCTCCATTGAGGAATTTCTGCTCACGTTTTTGTGACTCATTTTAGACATACGTGACTGAGCACGTCCATTGCAGAGTGTTTGTAACAGATTGAGCAGTGGTTGCGCGCGGTATTCCCGCGGCATTAGTATTCCCCGTTGGTGCACATTAGAGTTAGAACGCAGAGTCGCATAAATACTAACCGCGGCGGCGCCCAGTCGTGTCGCGTGCAGTCCAGTAGGGTACCGACGTAAGTCTTCCCTCGCCACGTCACATTCACTACGAGTACACCTGTAACAATATCACGGACCGATAAATATACGGCTTCTTGTATACGTGTTCCGTCGATCGTGTAATGGGATTAGTTTTAAACTGTGTAAGAAGATACGGCTTTAACGAAATTGGTGCAGTGAAGTTATCGGCGGCGACGGGAGCCTCGGATCCAATTTGTCACGCGGGAGCATTCATTTGCATATTGGGGATGCTGGAGACGCGGACGTGACTCCGCCGCATATTTAGCCGCGCCGCAGGCCGCGCCCCGCGCCCCGTGCCCCAGCTCCGGCCTCCGTTGAACCTCACCTCGCCAGTTTATCGCGCTGGCGTGCCAACTTATGCAAATTTAATTAATCAATTTCACCCCTCTATTCGCGACACTTTTTCGCCTTTAAAGGACATTCCGCTGTCACAATTTTATTACATAAACCAAAGGCTCATTGTGAATTTATAATATCACCTACCGCGTCCCGCGTTTTAGGACCTTATTGTAATTCAGAGCGATTTAATCTTCTCTTTGTCCTCAAAATGTTTTTCGTAAACAAGAGTAACAAATTGAGATAAAAGTGAGAGCCCCGGACAATCCCTTTTTAATCCCTGGCGAGCTTTTTCGTTGACTCGATTTTATGTAGCGGTCTCGTTGAATTGTAAATGACTAGGTAGATATCTTTTTAAACGGCAAAGTAGTTTAATGAGATTTAGTTGGCGGTCCGTAGACTTGTGTTCACAAACATGTATTTATTTAGTTTTATATCGTGAAATAGGTTCCATTACAGCGGAGCGCCATATTTCTCGGCTGCCAACAACAGTTTCGTAGCAGCGGAGTACCCGCGCAGTGCGCGTCTCATAAGTTATGATCTCACATACTACTAACATTGTTTGCAGCATATTAATACGTTTTATAGCTTGGCCGCGCGCTGCACGAATTTATGATGTACACTGAAGAAGTTTACATTACTCTACTGACTGAGACACATAAACATACACAACTAGTGCAACGATAGTAAACATGTACCACTCTACTGACACTACATACGCAGCTTTCAATATATTTGGGCAATGATTGACGCGCGCACGCAAACGTTATTCGCGTTTGTGGCAAATATTTTAATTTGTGAAGCGTGCAATACCATTGTTAGTAAATGACTGTGAAATCTGATTTATTGTGGTAGCTGTGATGCTCCCGCCGACTGTTTCAGACTAAATGCGCCACTACCGGCCATACGCTATTGCGGCTAGCTTTACAGCGGCCATTTTTGTGTCGAATTACGTGATAACTAAATTGACCGCACATTTGGGCGTACGATTACGGCCACGATCCGTCCGTTGGTCGCCGTTCGTAACAGTGCGTGTATTGTGAGGCCCGAAATAGTTTATTGCCTCAATTAAATTTACCACACAAAAGAAAAATTGATCTAAGAGTGAGATTACCGTCCAGTGAGCCAAGTTTCATACGAAATGGCTTCATTGAACTGGCTAAAGTAAACAATGGTATTACGTACAAATTCGCTATTTGTATTCAAGTTTTATTATATTAAGAAACATTGCATTAACTTTCAAAAACATTATCCCAAATAAATTGATAGCCCGTCTTTAAAAATAAACTTGTTTCGTGGAATAATAAAATGTAAAACAGAAATAAGATTGATAAGTTGTCTGTATAATGTAATGTAAGTCCTCCGTAGCAGTTACTTATTATTTATTGTTCCACAAAACAATGAACACATAAAGCATTTCTCTATAAGCCATTAGCATAAAATGGTGGAGTTATTGTAACCAGGAGACGTGCTCCGTGACTAATGAGACAATGGACGCGATGATTAGTTTATTATTGAACAACCGCCGTGTGCCACCACTTTGTTGTCTACGGTTATATTATTTATGTTTAAAATCTCGTGTTTGCTTTCTATTGTGAACGTGTAAATCATTTATAACGTTCGCACGCTACGTTTACGCATATAAATTTCTCGGTAAAAAAACGAAAATATGTATGTAGTTGGTGCTCGTAGTTTCGCAGTATGAATATAAAACCACACGCCATAAAGTAGGAACAAATACGGAAACCATCGTACGGAGCCAACTAATAAAACGAGTACCAGGTTGTCAGAAATATTTAAAAAGTAGCTCGAGCAGATGGTGCTCGCAACTTCCTAGAGGAAATCGTTGGGTGCGCGCCGCACTTTTATTATTTAGGGGTTGAAATCCCCTTGTAAATTGTGAATACGGCCGACCGGTCACGGAAAAGTTAAATTAGAGATCGTCGGTCCACTGTTTGGCTGCGTGTAATCGTTTCGATTTGTTGGAACGTCGCTAATGGCCCAACCGCGTGTTGCCTCTGCCTACCTACTTGTTACAGTTGTTAACGACAGGGGGACGACGGAACGTTGAAATAACTTCAACGTCAATATTTTTGTCATACTTACATGCGCGAAACTAGGTAACGATTTTAGACATGCGATGACGGTCTTTGGAGTATAATACTTTGGTATCCATGTCGTTTCATTGTTATTTAGAAAATTATAATTATGTCCTAAACAACAGGATATTTAGAGTAATACTAATTTACAATATTTCACTTCTTCGCAAACGCATCAGGCATCGCATAAATATTCTCAGTGTTCATAATAAACACAGTTCATAATTCACAGTTAATCCGGGGATCGTTTGATAAAGTCGCTGATCATTTTACCAGGAAAGCAGCGGGCTGAAATAGGTTCATTTAGATGGTGCTAATTACACCTCGGCCGCGGTAATCAACGGCCTAATAGTTGTCGTGCCCTCGCCCCCTCGCCGCGTTACCCCAGCCAGCCCGCTTTGTTCCCGACACCCCTCGCTAACTTCCTCACTCACAAATCTCTACCTACGTCAATATTTGTATAAGTCGCACTCTACAAAGTTAATCTTAAACTTGGAGATTATAGTATACCCCGTTACTCAGGCACGCGATATTAAACCTTGCGTGTCTTATGAGCATGAATCACAAAAGAAACATACTTTTATTGTTTCGTTTTTTCACTTTTTAAACTTTTTATTGAGTAAACTAAAGCTATTGAGTTAATAATCCTACAATAGTATAGTGGGCGAGCTGTGAGGCCGCGCGGCATGCGGCGGCAGCAACGCGTTGGTCCGGCGCGGCGCGGCGCTAATCAGACCTGCCCATTGTTTCCCACACCGAGACAAACAAAGTTCCGGCGGTTTCATTTACATCCACTCAATGGTACCGACAAGCAAACTAAAGTTTACCTCTTAAAATGAAATGAAATCACATCGTACCTACACTGGAATCGATGAACTCGCTCAACATGTTCAATGTTCCCCTATAAAAACTTGTGCCTTGTACTTATTATGTGTCAGATACAAAATGCTCCGTAATAAGCTCCATAAAAGAGACATAAACCGAACCTCGAAAACGAAGCATAAATATTAAAATACGTCCACTAATTAGTGGAATGGAATGCAACGCGGTGTGTACTGGGTAGCGTCCGCTTAATTGTTAGCACGTACACGACGTACACAGTGCAGCGCTGTACGCTGTGCGAGTGCGGGTCTGGATCGTAAACCTGTCTCTGAGGACATTTTTTGAGCGGTAGGCGAGCAGCAGATGCCGCTCGATACACTCCGGACTGTAAGACTTATGGAGAATTTATTCCAAGAGCCTGCGGTTAAAGCCGCGTCGTGTAAGTAAATGAGAAAAGTTCATAAAACTCAATTATTTTACACGTGAGTTTGTAATAAAATTATAACGCGGTTGGAGTCGCACAGTAAACAGTATTTAATTTCCGTAAGCTCCTCGGCGCCATTAGCCGAAAATAAATAAGCTTGAAGAGGAAGGGCGTGAATTGCCTCCCCGCGACCGCACTCCCCGCGCGCGTCCATCGGCCGGATAAATTTGGAAAGTGGCAACAGAAGCGAGCAGATGGTGATTTATTATCGTGTTTTATAATAATTACGAGAGGCTACGGGGGAGCGGCATTGTGTTGCGTGGCCTGGCCCTCTAATGGCGCTCGGGATCGGGACGTGTGCTCTCGTATTACATTGTCTGTTTTATTTTCATCTTAATGATGGACGACCGCATCTTATGGATAAGCATTAAATTGATCCCCTATAACGATGTTCTAAAATTAATAATATCAAGCTAAAATTAAACCAGCTATCATAAAATTCCCGCGATTACATTATTGGATTCTACTCGGTCCGAGTAATCGAATTGCTTTAACTTTGAATTGAATGTCTGAATCCCGAAAATAAAATAAGTAATAAATAAAGGTTCACAAGGAGAATTGATTTCATCGCAAACATAATAATAATTTATGTAAATGAGATTACCGGCCATTTTGGCATTTATTTACTTATCCTAAAGAGTTGCGGGACATTTTATTACCAGGCGAGCATAAAAGGTGTAAAGGTTCTCGTATTGGTTCAGCGAGGTTATTAAATATGTATTCCGCGATGCTATCTTCGACTAATAAGCGGCCAGTAATTACGTAGGGAGTCTCATTGACTCCACTGTTTTATGTGGCCATGAATATTTTAATATTAATAGCCAGTTCGGGATTGTAAGAGTTATAAATAAATTTAAACACTGAGAAAGGACGAGATGATTATAGCCGTCGTGAAATACGAATGACGAGCGACAAAAAACTGTAGACGTTCAAGACTTACGATTGGTAGGTCATCATAATCGGCGAGCCAGGTGTCGTAAATAAATTAATATTGCTTCTGTAAGTGGACTTCTTAATTACATGCTTTATGGGGCCTTTTATTATTTCTATATTGACGTTAATTACGTACTTTTATGTATATTTTTAGGAGCTCTAACCAAGGCTACGTTTTATTACATAGTGTTTATTTTACATGCAAGATTTTCACAATAAACATGTATTCAGGTACTGCCTACCGGCCTATTTCTTTCTACAATAATAGGTGACTGTCACTTACATATGAAGCAATACTTTAAAATATCGATTTTGATAAGTATTTGGAACTATGTCCATAAACATTTATTGCCGACCTAAAATATCCGGCGTTATTTACTGCCGATCCCTATTTCTCCGAATTCATTATGGCTTCCCAACCCATGTTTGAAATTTCGTCATCCATTGCTCTGTTCACAGAAGAGGATTTACGAAAACCGTGAGTTAATGCACTTGGAATGGAATACCTACTTAATAATATTTTTATTATCTTGAAACGATTTAATTATAGAAAGGTTGAATTGAGGTCAGATATCAGAAACTTCGTTGTAATAATGCTAAGAGGGTTTCGGATCGTTTAATCAGTGTTATGCCAATATTGAACGAAACTTTATCAGCTAACAATTTGCCTCAATTATATTAGTTATTATAATTATAACGGTACAATAACTTAATTAGTGACTTATGTACGTCATGTTTGATTTATTTTCATTACCTTGTGATTAATTTGAACCCTAATAATGTGATAAATGCAGCATGATTATGGAATTGATAAATGAATTGCGAAGCTTGAATGTATAGGTACCAGTGATGTGACTTATCTTAGATAAAAGTATCTGAAATACAGATACAAGATACAAAATACGTATTTATATCTTGTATTTGAAATACTTTTTAATTTTTATATTTTGTATCTTATATTTAGATACATTTTCCAGGTATCTTAGTATTTTGAAGATACTTTGTTCACTAAGATACTTTTACTAAAATAAACTTCGCAGTTTTTCTTTCCGAACGCAACTGAACGCAGCGCGTCGTTTATTTCGATACCATATTTTTACGGATCGGAAACTAAATGACAGATGGCGACACTATCTTTTTACAAATGTCATCGGTTAAGTAAGTAAGATCGTCAATGCCAAAATTAAAATTTAAACAAATAATACAAAAAGAAAAGATTGTTAATGAGTGTGATCTGTTACTAGTGTCACTGTCACTCCTTCCGTAAGTTTTTCGCTGAGGTTTTTCGTGTGTACGTGGACGTGGTGTATGGTGTTTAAAATAAAATATTGTAATTAATAAATAACAATATCGCCTTTGTGAGATTCGGGATCGCGAACTTACCTACATATTTTGTCTTGTCACATTTGCCTGATCCTTGATATCAACGCGGTCTATCCGAGAACTGTTTTCAAATAAAACGAATAAACTTACATTCAATTAAAATTTATTAAATGCTGTTTTCTTACAAAAGTATTTTATCTTTAAAAAGTATTTTAAAGATAGGTATTTTGTATCTAGTATTTCAGATACTTTTTTAGAAAAGTATTTGTATCTGGTATCTGAAATACTTTTTTTAAAAGTATCTTGCATCTAGTATTTCAGATACTTTGTATAAGGTATCTTATACATCACTGATAGGTACCAGGCGTGCATAAGCGTGCAGAGTGTATGGGATGAGCGCGTTACGGTGCATTGCGTTCGTGCGCTAGTAACAACTCACCACCTTCCGTCTCATGCCACACGATGCCCTCCAGCGTGACCGAGGTACCAGGCTCGCAGGGGCCCAGGCAGTCTGGCTCCGTGATGGTGCCAACAGACGTGCCCACGCATACTTCTGCAGTTTCCTGTGAACAAATACAAAGTTCAAATAAGTATTTTTGTAATTAATTTTTGAGACATAAAAATATTGTTGAAGTAAAAGTTGACACAACATTAAACAGTTGTGTCGGTAAGTAATGACTGGCATACATCTTGTATGTAACTGCCGTTATACATAATATACACTTGACAAAATATTTGGTTACATTTATGATACGTAATTTACATATTTACAATCGAAAACAAACTCGGTAAACGCAGAGCATAAAGCATAATGATTAAACGTTAATTATGAACATAAACGTATGTATGTATGTACCACTCGAAATAATAATAATAATAATGCAACCGCAAACATGTTAAAAACAGTAATTTATGGGCGCTCCGCACATTTTATACTGCTGTATAAAATATAACGAAATAGAGTTTAAAATAAATATCCAATTGATGGCTGACCGCATTTAATTAAACAGGATTTATTAAGAGAAATTGAATGCCTTCGGTAATTTTGCGGTGGTCTGTATTATTTTTATATTCAGTACATTATTGGTAGGTTTCGTTGTAAAGAGGTGGTAGGTTTATGAATTTTGGTAAACAAAATGGCTGCTCATGTCACTCGCGAGCGTCGCGAGACGAAATTCACCTACATGAAAATAATGTCAATAAATAAAAATAGAATGCGTTGATTTCAAATGTGATGCTTCTTCTACTCAAAGTTAAATACTATTTTGACGGAAAAAATTCGTCTGTTTATGTTGTGACCATGATTCTACAATAAACTACGGACTTTTTTTAAATCTAACACAATTCGTTGTAAAATATTAATGGCAACGTTCGTCAGTTATTTTTCTTGGAACCTTTAGTTATAACAATACTAAGTACTTACTGTATGATTTATTAAAAGAAAAAAAAATTTTTATCGCGAAACATATTTACGGAAAAAGTCGTGTGCCATTTTAAGTATAACAAAATCTTAAAGTGAAAAAGTATTTTCTTTTACAAAAATCTAGTAGTGATTCATATTTTATTTTACATAAATACTTTTTCAATTTCAAAATTCTCTTTTCGACGTGGAACTAAACGTAACCGACGAAACGTGGCGTGGGTGTGTAGTCATTTGTCACTACTTTAAAACGAATGACAAGTACTTTATTTTGTGTCTGTGTGGTTTTAATTTTTTAAACTGTGTACTTACTAAAGCTGTTCGTTCGTTTCTAATATTTCCCGCTATTTCGATGAACGTGAATGGCGAATGGCAATTGAGCAAGTGAACGTATCTTTAATAACTGGCTGTTACTCTTGTGTTGTTATTCTGTTATATGCTAACAACACACTCCATGTTTCCACTATAAATCAGAACTCGTTATTGTGGTTTTAATTTGCTTTAGTAATGATGGCGTAATATTTGTAGATACTTTCAACAGTTATTGTTCCACGAGTTATAGAGTAAGCAGTGATTGATACTTAAAGGATATAAGTTGCACCTGATTAACAAAACAATATATTTGCATCTTGCAAAGTCAAGAGTCAAAAGCATTTATTTCAATTAGACCAGGAAGACACTTTTGAACGTCTACAAAAAAAAACCTATTTGCTAATTCCAAAGTCTTAGATAATATTGAAATGAAAACCTACATTAAAGTGATATACATGTTAATAAGATTAAAAATAAATTATTTTATTATCATCTTTATAAAACGTTATAGGTAAACAAGTTTGGACTTTGTTCAGCTCATCTTGACCTACCGCAGTATACATAAACCATTTTTTTAAGTGGTTAAGTAGACAAGATAACATATTTTCCAAACAATGACAAAAGACTTCAAAATATTCATGCGATAATCACATGTTGAGTACGTCGATGTAGGTATGATTAATTAATCAATTTGATATCGAATAGTACCGCTCCAAGCCGGCTCCACCGCACCGCACGCCCAACTGTTATTAATTAAAACTTATTGTTCCCGTTATATTAATTTGATACTGTTCGCACGAATTATGTTGAAATTACTTCACAAATGTTACTATTGAGGTAAATACACGTGTAATTAAAATGTTAATGGCTTGTTTGCCCCGATAATGGTACGAACAAATTAATAATGTGTGCAGTTTCAGTTGGAAGTGCATTTTATCTTCGACTGAGAATATGTTTACCAAAAAATACACAAATAAACAAAGCATGGAATCGTGAATATACTAATCAAACTACGGATACATAATAATCAGATATATAGGTTTCAGTAGAATGTATTTCTGAAAAATTTATCTCCTTTTTTCGCAAACAATACTGTAAATGGCAACGATAAGCCAAATCAAAAAAACAAAAGATCGAAGTGGGACTCTTTTGAATATTATATTTTTCATAGCGATCTCCCCGGAAAATCGTAACGTTTGTTGAGTCGACCGCGGTACCAAGTCGCCGGGATTGCATAAATTCAAAGAGCGTTTACGGCGTAGAACATAATCAAATGAAGCCATTTACATTCAGCGCCCGATATGAGAACGGTGCGACACCATCGCCCGTCTCGCTCACGCACACGGTTAATGGCATCACAAATTGCGAACTAAAGCACTCCGGCGTTGAATCCGAGAGATGTCGTTCCGACGAGTACTTTTGGAAAAATAACAAAATTTTATGTGAATCGACAGATATTATAGTCAAGCAATAATCTTTTCACGTTTCAGTTTCTAACAATGACGAAGTGGAATGAATATGCGCTCCAATAACGATGCTACAGAGAATTGTGCTATCTCAAAAAGTATCAGATGTAACAATGTCTCATTGAAAACTGCACGTGGATTTAGGAGTTAAGCTTACGTTGAGAATTAAAAATTAAAAAGTCGTTACTGAAGTAAATTAACATTAACTTTGTAATTCACGCTAATATAATCCGATCTTCTACGATGAAGTCATACCAGCTGAATATCTCAACTGCGATAACAGCAAATAATCGATTAAATCATGCCCACGCGACGCCTATAAATAAAATTAAACGCTTTATTGTTAGTCGAATGACAAATGTGCGATAGTCTTACGCCCACCGACAGCGGCACTCGAGTTCACTCGACCGCGTTGCGCGACCGCTACTCAAGCCCGGCGACAATACTAGGTTAGAACGATAATGCCACAAACATATTAATATTTCGACACAACGTATCGCTATTAAATCCTTTATGGACGACGGCGTGAACGTTACAAGTTGAGCCAGTCGAGAGGGGGTATTGTGTGCGACGCGGAGGGGACGCTCGGCCGAAGTTATGAACGCTGGCTCAATGCTCTCCCGCTAGTTGACTGCAAACAAGAGGGGTCGGACCCGAGCAGCTGCCGTTTTATCTTGACAAACGAACTTGCCTCACGAGCAGAATTTTAGAAAAATAACTTTATTACCGGGACTCGGAATTTATATTTCCATAAAAACGAGGTGAAGTGCACGCCAACAGTCATATCGAACGCATACAAGAGTCGGTGGTGTAGCGGCAGTGCAGCGCTGTCGATGCCGCATGCCAGTGCCGCCGCAACACACAATAGCGAGTAAATCAATTCACAACCGACATGAACAAAAGAGCGTGCCGAGCGTACAGTGTAATGAGCGCGTCGGCATGCCCCGGTACGAATAAGATACTGAAAGGAGCCATATAGAGATCTTACAATTGGATGTAGAACCAATTCGTCATTTTCTACTAAGTAATACGAATCGATTCGAAAAATAAAGTGTAAAGATCTTGGCCATCCTACATGCTCAATGAGTAGAAACAATATCCTGTATTCCTCTCTATCCGCATACTGACTCATAATCGTATCGTTTCCAAAACTTGTAACAATTTAGTTTCCGCGCGGTCGACCATGACAAATCACGGTTGAATCTCACAAACTGGAATATTTGGCAACGGATACGTCCACTGGAGCACGGGAAGCGATTCCCAACAGTGTAACCGAATTACAATCCACTAAACCGAGGGAACATACGTCATTAAAATAATTTAGGGAAATGGCACGTTTTAGTGCTCGCGTTTATGGCAGCTTGGTGGATGGGCCGCTCGCGGCGTGCCAGAAGCAATAAATACCGGGGCGGAGCCACCCACCATCTTGTTTATACACCACCTACCCGAGACGGAACATTAATTTTCTGCTATGCGGAATAAGTGGCGACAAAGAGTGTTCGTGTCAGCTAATGGGCTAGAACACATCAGTGTTACGACTCATAAGAACTCTGCCAAGAAAAGAAGCTAAAGAAATTAGGTACGGATAAGGCTAATTGTACCGAGAACTGTGAGGAAATCTGCAGCGCCTTAACCCTCTTAGTAGAGGAAATTATCATTTAAATGGACTTTCAAAGGTAAAGAAAGCGGTCTGTGAGCACTGGAAATAATTATTATCTGGCCGTTTTTATCGTGTTTCCCTTCAAACCTTCGTGTTTCCAATAAATGATGTAAATTAAACTAAAATACTCATAAAATAAAATCAAAGAATGAATGAATAGAAATGAGATAAAACTTGAAAATGTTGCCATGAGCACTGAATAGAAAACTTGGCTAAGTTATCTACTTACATAGGTACATTTAAAGTGAACAAAGTTTATTTGTATTCTTTCGTGTGGTTACAAAAACGTGTGCATACTTCTAGTAGCGTATCAGAGGAGGTAACGAGTTATAAATAATAATTAAGCAACACAATCAGGCGCGGAACCGGACGGACTGTCCGCTCATAGCGAAGGGTCGTGGGTACCCTACTCAGGGCTGACACTGCGTAATTAACTTTGTACAATTCGATTTGATGCGCAACTGTTTCAATATTCGTTCACACAACCCTCGGCGTTGTGCGAACTTTTTTAATTTATTCATTATTTTAAAACTGTCAAAGTGCACATCAACTTATTATATTATTCTCGTTTTTTAAAACAACATCTGTAAATAAAATATGGCGTAGAATTTACTTTGGGAATGAATAATGCGAAACAGCAAAACTAATTTGGAGAATCGCTAAAAGGGTTTTAAAAACAAATTCATTTTATAGAGCCCGGTTTTC